ATAAATATAGCAAAGGTATTTATGGCAAACCTAGTCTAGATATCAACCTCGTCGTAGGTATCATATCAAAGACATACAATTAGAAAAACTCTAGAGATAGATGTCGCCTCGCCAGAAGAAGTTAAAAATATGTACTACATACGCTACAGCGGAAATGGACGACACGCCATTTCTTTATTTGTAATTAATTGCTGCTATATGTATGTATGTATGTACATATGTAGGCATATACTAAATGTGAGCAAACAACATTTTGCTTGCATAGTCTTCTGTTCTCTTTTCACTGCAAGTTGAATTATTTTAGTATCTATTGCAAAATTTTATACAGACAAGACTAAAAAGTATAAAATAAATTTAAAAAAAAAACTTTTTAATGTACCACACTTTTATAAATGGACTAAAATTAGAAAATAATATTTCTCAGTCCCATAGAACTTGTTTTGATAACTTTTGATTTTGGAATTTTAGCAAAAGTCATTATAAAAAATTTATGAGATTGAAAATGAAAAGCGTGGGGGGGGCGGGGGGGGAAATAACAGCAAAAATTTAAGTACAGTTTTCAATAACTCCAATTCCTTCTTGCAGGGACAAACCTTTAGTTTGAAATTTTTGGTATCCGACGACGAATGACATCGGTATCTTCATTGCTGAGTTTTATAATTACTGAACGTATTTGATTCAAATTATTCAGCTGTGTCAAGCCAAGGTTCTGTTACAAATATTGCAAGCTACGGGTGTTACAAGTATGTTGTAAAAATTTTCTTGTACAATAAAGCCAGATGTACAGTAAATTGAGCATGTTTATTTAACAATCCAGTGAGACGAAACGAAAGGATTCAACCAAAAAAGCAATTCCAAGTAAAAGCTTAAAATTGTCGGTCCTGCTAGATAATATCATACGACTATTTTTTGTAGCGGTATAATTTTCAAACTTCTACATTTGCAAACCTGTTGCGCATTGTTTCTGCAGGTGGCGGTTTTATTTAGAACACAGCAGTGTTTATTTTTATTTTTATTTTTCATATTCATTTGCATTTATATTAGAGCTAACAATACCGTCGGCAATAACGTTGATTCCAAGCATTATTCCTTTTTACCCTTTTTTGTTTAAATAGCTTTTGCGAATTTAACTCGCCTTACTGTGTTTTTCGTTTGTTTGTTACTTACATATGTGTTTGTTTTATTATGGGAATTTGTCGGGTTTTTCTAAATTCACACTTGCCCAGACGCTAATGCAGGCACGTTTGCTCGGCGTCATAATTCGCTGCGCATGGCTTTATCGTTGGCATCAATACATATACAGTATTGGCCAATACAATAGCACACCCATTTCAAAGTGATATTGTTTGTCCCTCATGTTTGTATATATATTTTTGGGAATTTACAATTAAAATACAGTTCATTCTCTAACAAGACTCATATAAACCCAAGTTTAAAACTTTTTAAAAGACTGCAAAATAATGCAACAAATTTTCACCCTAATATCAAACTTTTTTCTCAGAAGTGCTAGAATTTTTCTGAGTACACAGTTTTATAGCCCATACAATTTAGCCTAAGGAGTTTCGGGTTTCTTCAATATAAAAATAAATTGTGGTTATTCGTTATATGGGAGCAAATGCGAAAAAAAATTCTAAAAAATCAACGGTAGTTTTTAGCCACTTGAGCCTTGCCCATTATTAAAATGGAATGGGCTATAAAACTGTGTACTCAGAAAAATTCTAGCACTTCTGAGAAAAAAGTTTGAAATTCGGGTGAAAATTGGTTGCATTATTTAGTAGTCTTTAAAAAAGTTTTAAACTTGGGTTTACATGAGTTTTGTTAGAGAATGAACTGTACTTTAATTGAAAATTCTGAAAGTGGCAAACAATTTCACCTTGAAAGGGGGGATCTATAGATATGTAAAATACTGTACATATATGTATATATCCACATTGTACATACGTAGATATGTAGGTATGCTACGATTGTGTGTGCAAACACAATTTTAGTGATTTTGCTCTCATCATACATACCTAGGAGATTCCCAAGGCTGTTAAGCGCCTACATTTCTTAGGGGATTCGCAGTGGTTGATAAGATATAATTGTACATATATTTTCTATCAGTTAAAACACATTGATATGATATTAGGTTTGTTCCACAAGCTACTCGAAGTCACTTCGAGTTATGCTGTAAACACATAAAGGGCTTGTGGGGTGTGGCAATATTTGCAGTTGTGTTCCACAACCATGTCGTGCACGGCTTGTAATTTTTTAATAAGAGCGTCAAGGCAGGCGAAACGCTGTTGGCATTTTTTGTACAGTTGTATTTTTTTTATACAATTTCTTTCACAATAAACTTTAAATATTTTTAGTACAATTTTATGATGAATGCTAAAAATATATAGCTCTGAAAATTCACAGCAGGAAATTTTGTACTCTCTTTTTTTTTGAATTTTTCGAATTTGCATTGTAAGTGCTAAAAATACCAAGCCACAAGGTGTGCTATCATCTTCCCATTCAATTTTCGATACTAAATCTTAAAACAAAATGTCGAAATGAGCTTTAATTTCTTCACCCGATGCCACTATCCAATTCCTATGTGGAATTGCTCATTGATTCCGAAAATCAAATCAACGTTTTTCTCTATGGATAACTTTCTGAGATGTTTGCAATTTCAGCTTAAAAAAGAGTAGATCCACTTAACCACGTATGCATATCTTTCGAACCAATTGAACAATCGTAATACGAAGTAAAGATAATCAAATTCTCCATAAACCGTAATACATCACTCTTCGACAGGCCTGATGGTTTCTGAGAAACTAATATTCCCACATTTTTTTTTTTTATGAAAAAATTAAAAAAATTTACATTTTCTGAATTTTTTTATTTTGTATGAAAGCCTGTTCTTTTACAAAAAAAATGAAGCTGCCAATGAAGAAAATCGATGGATAAATAAGAAAGGAATGAGGTGAAATGAGTAAGCAGAAAATAGAGTTACTCAGGTGTACACGGCGTATGAGTAGCATTATTTCCTGCTCATTTTTCATACAAAAGATCTGTGTGCCTTTTTTATTTGACCACTCATTCCTTCTGTATTTATCCATCGATTTTGTCCATTGGTAGCTTGACATATTTGTAACAGAAAGGCCTTAACACAAATAAAAAAATGACACATAATCTTATTTGTTATTTTTTATACCTTTCATGAGCATGAAATGGTATTATAACTTTGGTCCGATGTTTGTAAGTACCAGAATAAGAAGAGATAGACCCATTAAAATGTATACTTAAATGATCAGAACGTCGAGCTGAGTCGATTTAGCCATGTCCGTCGGTCCCTCTGTCTGTCTGTCTGTCCGTCTGTTTGTATGCAATCTAGTCTCTCAGTTTTCGAGATATCCGGATGAAATTTGGTAGGTGGGTGTATTTTTATAATTTATTAATCATTTGTCGGAACCGGAAGAATCGGACCACTATAACATATAGCTCCCATACAACTGATTGTTCAGATATGAGATTTTTCATTATAACTTCTCCATTTATGGAGCTAGGAACATGAAATTTTGCAATACTTCCATCCATTATCAACAGAAAACTTAAAGTGAAAATTACAAACATCGGGTCACTAAAACCTATAGCTCCCATACAACTGATTGTTCAGTTATGAGAATTTTCGTTATAACTCCTCCATTTATGCAGCTGGCATTTCGCAATATTTCCACCCGTTACCAAAAAAATACTTACAGTGAAAATGGCGAAGATCGGGTCGCTATAACCTATTTATAGCCTCCATACAACTGATTGTTTAGATATGGGGTTTTACTGTAAAACTCCTTTATTTGGACAGCTAAAACCGATAAATTTCGTAAGCTATTTTATAAAAAAGAATACAAAGTCTACTGAGAAAATCGTCAAAATCTGTGCTGTATAAACTTTATCTCTTATACCACTGATTGTTCAGATACCAGTTATTACGATATATCTCCTTTATGTAGGAGTCTAAACCCATTAAATTGTGTTACCGGTTTACATACCGATCACACAGCAGTGAAAATCACTTAGATTGGTTCTATATAAGGTATATCTTCCATACCTCTGATTGTTTATATATGGTTTTTCATAAATATATGTATCTCCTCTATCTATGTATTCCGTAAATATATAAATTTTTTCAAATACAGTAATCTGTTAAAGTAAAATTTTCAGATGTTCATGAAAGGTATGAAGCCTTCGGCGTAGCCGAAGACAGCGCTGCTGTTTCATGTTAAAGTTTGAATTTGTTAATTTTTACATCGAAAAACAAAAAATCTGGAATTAACTAATTTCTCAGAACCATGAAGCCTATCGAATGGGCTACAAAACTAAATACTCAACATATTTCAATAAGATTTAAAAAAAGCTCGAAACTTTTACGAAAGTTTGTTGATTTTTGTTTAATGTTGCACAAAAATTGGACCTTGGATTTATACGGTTTTTGTTAAAGTATAAACTGTACTTTTTTATACAAATAATTAAAATTAAATAATATTAAGATAAATAGTCAAATATTGTCGATATGTGAGTGTCGTAAAGATTTGATAAGAACTATAGCTAGGAATATCGCCATAATATTAAAATTACTAATGAAATGCTATGTCCAGTTTTAGTACCGAATCCAAAGAAGATGCCTCTTTTTCCATTAGGAATGCCTTAAAAATGCTTTTGGTTAGGAAGTGTACCTGAAAATGTGTGCACACATATATATGTTAATCAATATGTAAAAGTGTAAATGTATGTACATAAACAAGTAAACTTTCTCGTGCCATCAAATCATTGGTCTTGAGGGCATGGTCTTGTATGTGCATGTACTAAGAAAATATATGAGCAAATTAAATCGTCGATACAATTTACAGTAAAAAATACAGTTTTGTATAGATTTCGTACTGATTGTTACCAAACTAGTTAAAACAATGAAATGTGCCCTGATTTTTGGATTAAATGATTTTACATCTTAAAATTCATTTTCTTTATATTTCTTTCAGGTGAATTCTGTGTTCACTTAGCGGCCGAAGCGGGTCATTTGAAAATATTAAGCATTTTAGTTCACTGCGGCGCTGATATCAATGCAAGAGTGAGTATTTTGACTGTTACAAATGCAAGAATAAAATCTAATTTATGCTCTCAACTATTTACAGGAAGGAAAGGGCGGCTACACACCGTTGCACATTTCCATTGAAAAGGGTAATGAAGAGATTTTCAATTTTCTACTAGATCAATGCAAACAGAAATTAGATTTGGAAACAACCACGTTTGGTCGTCTAACTGCATATCAATTTGCGTGCATTTTGAAGCGATCGAAAATGCAAAATATTTTAGAAAAGCATGGCGTCGAACCGCTCACACCGCCAGACAGTGAATATGAAAGTAGTGAGGATGATTCCGAATAAATGCAAGCATAAACCTTGCTTCTTCTCACAAAAAAGTTCTATGTTTTAGTAGAACCAATAGGAAAAATTATAACTAACATCATATTTTTCAACAGCATATGTAAATATCCATATGTACACACTCATTATAGAAAATAGAACTTTTACTAATTTGATAGCGTTATTTCCTAGTCGAATCATTTGTACTTGTAAATGCTGCTGACAATCTAGCCAGTAGGACTTATAACTATTACAAGTTTTTAAATACATACATACGTACATATTTTTGCGTTTGTCGAAGAGTTAATTATGTCATTAAAACCAATTTAATCTGTGTTCGTTGTTATAAATACGGGTGGAAATGAGTTTTAAAATTTAAGTTAATGTGTATAAAAAAAAGTAAGCTAGTAAGATTTCATCTATGTTATAAATGTTATGCTGTCATTTTAAAATATATTTTTCATATTTAAACATTTGTTTACCGTTCGTATAATCTGACCGACATTGTCAGCCGATTTAGTAGTAAAATTAATTCCATAGAAATATAACTGATGAGTTTACACGTTCTCATAATGCCAGCAAACACAGTTTCAAACGTTTGAAAAAAATGTATTTCTCAATTTGATATCAAATGTTTTTCTCAAATGATTCTCAAATTGAAAGCGAGGTTTAAATTTTACATTTGAAATTCATTTGAGGTTGATTTGAAGAAAGATGTCAAGTATCAAACGTTATAAAAATGCGCAGTTAAATCAAAAATTGTAAGAAAAAAATTAAGATCAAATGAAAAAAAAACAATTAATAGAAAAAATTTCAAAGAGAAAGCCCACCAATCGTGGATTTGATGTTTGCGCCGATTGAAAAAGCTGCAGCCCGTCAAGACGAATTTATTATAAATTACTTTATCTTAATTGTTTCTTTTGTTATGTACATACATATGTATATGGCGAAGAAAAAATAAATATGAAATATACATTTCCTATTATAAATTTATATATTACATTTGATAAATAACCTTTGAAATTGATTTGAGAGTTAACCATATTCTCAAATGGAGATCAAACTTCCCTTTTTATTGAGAAAGCTGTAATTTTCAAATCAATATCAAATCATTTTCAAACGTTTGACATTTGATAAAGGCTTTGATTTCAAATCAACCTAATTGTTTGCTGGGATATACCTGTGCGCACTTGTGCACAAGGGTATTATAACTTTGTACACATAACGGTTGTTTGTAACAGGTAAAACGAATAGAAATAGATATAAACAACTGTATACATAAATGATCAGAATGAAAAGAGGAATCGATTAAGCGGTGACTGCCTGTCTGTCCGTCCGTCCGTCTGTGCACAGTGTGTGTCGAGTAAAAATTTAGATATACAGTATATTTTGCTTTGCTGCCTTTGTGCTTAAGTGCACATTTAAGATGCCTACCCCAAAATGTGCATCAGAGGCATTATTTTAAATATTTATAAGGAAACTGATTCGATAGATGCATTCAACATACCTGCACATTGGCTATACCTGCCCTAAAAAATTGTGCAACTAGTATCAATTATCAAAGAAAGTATTACGTTTACCTGCACTGACCCTACAATTACCTAATTTTACAACCTTTATTTATTTTGCTCATCTCTGAGAACAACGAAAATGGCTATCAATTTATGTAGTTATATAGATAATTAGATACTATTCGGTAAAAATGTCGCTTGCAGTAATTTCTATGTGGTAAGTGCTTCTCCATTATTTGGTTTCATAGGGATTTGGATACCTTCCTCATTGAAGTAGTAAAGAAAATTCGCTTAAGTGCCTTTTTCGGTTAAGTGCACAAGTTTTTCGTGCAAAGAAGGATGTGCAGCTAAGCAAAATATACGTATTAATGAGACTTAGTACGTGTACTTCTTTCGGGCGTAGGACGGCTGGTATTAAAAATGGACAAAATCCATATGTATCTACATCACCCCAACGCAAGTGTTTACTGCCGCTGAACTCATGCGCTTGCCAAGACAGGTCAATACTAACTGCATCATAGGAGCGAACTTCAACGCACGGAGCACAATCTGGGGCGATACCCAATCCAATCAAAGAAGGTCAATAGTTAAAGACACGTTACTGGCTTCTAATCTTATATGTCTAAATGACGGCACCGCCACGCATTTCTCAACCCACAACACCTTCACCTGCATCGACCTCACCTTCTGTTCTGCTGCCCTAGCACCATAATGCGCCTGGCGTGTAGTAGACTCCTTGCATGGAAGTGATCACTTCCCGATCCTAAACACGTATCATTTTTTACGGAAATCAATTCAGTATAAGCACATTAGCAAATTCAAGACAGAAGTCGCGGACTGGGATAATTTTACTACCCGCTGCCTCCAACTTTGCCGAAACACGCCTTCGACAAACAACATTCACCAAGAAGCAGCAAAAATTCTAAGAATTGTTCGCACCGCCGCCCCTTAACTATTCCGCAAGCCACACCGTGCAATAACAAAAAATATTATCCCCTGCTGGAATGCCAACTTATCCACCCTTCGCCTGCAGAAACAGCGTGAATGGCAGAATTATAAACGCTCCCGCTCTGAAAACAATCTCTTAGCATATGAAAGAGCTAATGCCCTTTTAAGGAGAGCTGTAAGAACAGCTAAAAAACAAAGCTTTGAAAAGATCACATTGAAAATATGTCCCACATCAAACCTAAGGACGTTTGGAGTGACATTAAGAAGCTCACTGGCTTCTTATCTATCCAGCATTAACTCTCCTAACGGAACGATAACCACACCGCTGGAAATTGCCAACTATTTCGCTTCTTCCTTTTCGTCTGTTTCCTCCGATTAAACCTTTATAGATACTTTCGGCAAGATGATCCTTTGACAAATCAACACCTCTCGACACACGCCAGGCAAATCGAAGCAAAAATAAACTAAGCTGAACTCGAATTCGTACTCTCATCAGTTAAAGGTAAAACACCAGGGCTTGAAAAGGTATCATACCCCATCATCCAATAACTACCCATCGAAGTAAAACAACGAATACTTAACCTTTACAACCTTATTCCCGACCAAGGACACTACCCTCAACACGGGGAAAACTGCGTGCATAGTTCCCATAATAAAACCAAACAAGCCCGCTGGAGACGCAAACAACTATAGACCCCTTCTCATCCCTTGCTTTGGAAAAGTACTGGAAAAAATTGTAGCCTCCAGACTTATGTGGCATGCGAACATCATGAAACGTATCAGTCCCAATCAAGTAGTTTACAGAAAAGGTTGTGGTACTACTTCGCACTACTTCATCTCGACCACCTAATTTTAAACGCCCTCTCGTCCAAAAACCACTTTTCGGTGCTTTCCGCCGATTTCCAAAAAGCGCTTGGCCGTATCGGCGCCCACATTATCTTAAGGCAACTAGAGAAATGGAAAATCGGCCCAAAAATCAAGAACTTTATCAAAAGCTTTCTCAAACACAGGAAATGTGTGGTGAAAATAAACGGGTATCTTTCCGCTACGTATCCACTTGATAATGGTACCCCACAGGGTTCATCATTATCCTCTTGCCTATGCTATTATAGCATTCGATGAGATCACTCAACTCACAAAAAACATAAGTAGCTTAGAATGCCAACTCTATGCTGATGACGTGGTCAACACGGATATCTCGGACATCACGTTTGAGAGCTTACTTTCCAAAATAAATTCATAGTCTCTGGTGGTCTCTGGCACCACAATTGCTACTGAAAAAACCAAAATGCTACATATTTGCCGGAAACAGAATTGTCCCGGTGTTTCCAATGATGCTATAAGTTCGGTACAAGAACTCAAAATTCTTGGACCCGCGGGTACGGGCCGGAATATTTGCTGTCAGCACGAATTCATGCGTGCATGGGCGTTCAGTAAAATTTCATAAAAGCACGAAAAAGCCCGTTGCTGATACTACAAATTTAGATAAGCTTTTGTTTTTATACAAAAAAAAAATACTACATATAGCAAAAAAATTTTTGGAAACCGGTAGAAAAAATAATATACTTAGTAGTTTTGTTTACATATCTGTACATAAAATACCTTCATTGGAAGGTAGAAAAATTTTTTTCTACTTCCCAGAAAATATATTATTAAAATCTTTGATGTAAAAAATTTATTCGCTTAAGTAAATATACATACATAAACACAAAATTAAAAATATGTACATATGTATACATACAATAAAAGTTGGCTCTTTATTTCCAGGCTGGGACGTGTCCCGTTGTGCCGGGCGGGCCGGGCTGGGCCCCGCTAAAATTATTAACGTGCGGGCTCGTGCGTGTTTTTGAAAGTTGATTTTGCACTCGTGCCGGGGCGGGCCTGAAAATTTAGGCCCGTGCCCATCTCTACTCCAAATACAACTTCAAGCCACACTGTACTCAACTAAGAGAGCGCCTTTCAAATAGTTTAAACATAATCAAATACCTTGCATCAAAGAAAAGCTTCGTACACCCTACCACGCTAATAAATATTACAACAGCCCTAATCCTATCCAAAATTGATTACGCACTTCCTATTTACGGTAAAAGCACAAAAGCTACACTCAACAAGCTGTCAGCACCGTACCACGCCGCAATACGCAGGGGTATCAGAGCCTTCCCTACAACCCCATTAAAAAACTTGTACGCAGAAACAGGCTTACCAACAATTTCAGGCAGAACAGCCGACTCCTACCAAAACTGCAGCACACCTATGACTCCATTCTTTCCGAAGATGTCCAAAATATGTTAACAAGAAAACGGCAGCCCAGGTGCAAATCGGCAATGCTAAGATCTTTGGAATAAAGGATCTACAGATACCCATCAATAAAAAGCCTCAAGCTATAGAAGCACACCCGCAGTGGTTGATAAACAACGCAAAGTCAATAATCAAGGCACTACTTCTTCCCAAAGCAAGTACTCCAAAGAGAAGTACACAAAACTCTTCGCTGCGGTAAAAGAGAAATAGCAAAACCTTGGTTGGAAATTCATATACACTGACGGGTCCAAGACTGAAAACAACACCTCCTTTGCAGTAGTATCACAATGCGGAGGCATAATCAAACACGGTATACTTCTTTTTTTTTGGTTGTAGAGTGGATGATGGCTGGACACTTGGATCTTCATAGGCCAGTGTAATCAAAAACGTATTTAGTATGTGAACGGTTGTATTTTCGTAGTAGTTACTAGTGCTATTTGCAATACAAAACTTGACTCCTTCCGAGCCAAAATTGCCAGCAACTTTAATCAAAACGAAAGCCCATATGTACGACTCATTTTTGGGCATGTGTCTTCTCAGGGTGTACCATGTCGTAGATGCTACCAAGGACAGGGTA